AGACAACACATGCGCGTGCGACGTCCTCTTAAAACTTTACTAAAAATAGTCGCCGATATAATAAGGATGCTGTAATGTTCATCAAACTTTACATCAAGCTGATTTTGATTTCTTATAATTATCCTAAATGCACAATTTTAAATTTGTTGATACTTAAATTGTCAATATTGTCATGGCTATTTTTTTTTCATTTTTCAGAACCTTTTGAAAAAACAAACACAGCACGGTCTGTGAATAACCATAATGTATTTGCCCAAATCAAAGAAGCCATTACTAATAGTTACAATCAATTAAAAGAAACGATGTCATTGGATTCAATATTTTTTTAGTTTGTAATGTATCAAAACTGAAAAAAAAATCAAAAAAAAAAAAAGAAAACAACAAAATTACTATAAAAAAAAAATTATGAAAACGACAAGAAAACTTCGTGTGGCTTTCGTCTGACATTGTTATATAGCGTACACTTACTTTTTAAGAAAGGTAAACTCGGGAAAACCGTAATGAAAACAAAAAAAATTTACAAAAACGTACAAAAAAAACTTGTTTTAGCTAATACGAAAATTGAGTAAAGAAAAAAATTGCTCKAATTTATAGCACATAAGTATTATTATATTAAATTATATTATATTGTTGAGTTTATATATCAAAGAAAAAACCTCCGCATGAACCTCCGCCATCATCAATCGAATACAAGACTTTTTAATTTGTTACTATTCTTATATATATATATATTACGTATAATACTATTATGAAATTAAATCTGCCCTGTTGTATAGGTAACTAGTTACTGTAGGTATTGGAAAAAAAAATTGCAAGCGCTATCTTGTATTTAGTATAATTTATCACTGTGTTGACTACGATGTATTTTGAATTATACATTTATAGATTCTATAGTAAATTTTGCGTTATTATATTAATCATCTTTATTAATAAATATCTTTTTCAAACGATCTGAAAAATGTTTATTAATTTTAAACTGTCTTATTAGTTAAATACTTTTATGACTAGAGCTCGGATGTTTATGACTTGGCATATTGTTTTCGCGCAGCTAGAATTATATCGGAGTGTGATATCAATTTGTTTCATGAAATCTATATTACAAAATAATAGACATATTTTTTTTTTTTTAATTTTCCAGTTTACAAAAACATATTTTCAGATTGTCGAAGGTCTTTCAAATTTTAAAATCAAAATCATTGTTATACAGTGTAATCTTGATCTTTAAATTATTTAACCTTTGTAACTTGTATTTTAGTTTATATATTTATAATATATATATATTATATATATATTAAATTATTACGAATTACTACTTCTATCCCATTTTTTGTAATTGTTTGAAATAGATATAATATTTATAACACATTTAATAGTGTTTATAATTTATTTTGAATTATTATTAACACCTTTTTTGCGTTAATTTTTTGCATAATTTGTTGGAAAATAGGTATATTTGATATATTTAAAAGCATATAATTGCATATTTTGAAATTATTTATTGCATATATTTTAATGATATTTTGGTTATTAACATCCGAGCTCTAATTATTATTATCGTACTGTATATGCATGAAAATGGCCATCAATTCCTGAAGACTGTAATGTTGAGACTTAAAAATATTGTCATCCAGATTAAAATCCACCGATCCACGGTTAAAATAACATCTGGTTTATACATTTATAATATACCCTTTTATATAAGAAACTATATAATATGATGAATGTATGTGTATACAGGCATTAACTCTTGTGATATTAAACCATAAAATGATTTAAACRAATCCTTATAAACATTAGAAAGAAAAAAATTGTTATCTTGGCTTTTTCCAATATTTAAATCTCCAACTATACMAGTTCCACTAACCTTTCATGCCTAAACAAAAACAACTGATAAAAACATTCATTGCACCATATTATATTAACACACCCAAAATTAAGCGATGTTTTAAGACAGAAATATTCAGTTAAAACTTAAAAACCAATAATTTATGTAGTATTTATGCCAATGATAAGAAATATTTAATGTCTGATTTTCCAAGCATAATATTAATATATAATTTTAATTTTAAACACATCACAATCAATTATCAGCCAAATAATCAATGAAATTAATGACCGTAAAAATAATATATCTTTTGCATGGATTCCGGTACACTTCGGTAGGTTAATCTTTCTAAAAAATAA